AATTCATCCCCCATATTAAGTCCCCAAGTCCCCCCTGTGTCAATTCACTTACCTTTGCTCCGCGCGTTCCTCTCGCCGTGTTCCCGCGCCGTTCCGGTGTAGCATGAAAATCTGTCTCCTATGAGGATCTGTCCCCCTCGACGTATCTGCTCATGTGCCAGTTTCAGGCATTAGCAGCCGATCGGCGATCTCCGGCACATGCGCAGATACGTCGAGGGGGACAGATCCTCATAGGAGACAGATTTTCATGCTACACCGGTCTTCAGGGCGGACTGTGAGGGGAGCCTAGCGGGAGCCTAGCTCCGCGGGCCGGATTAAAAGGTCCGCCAGGCCGTAGTTTGCCCATTGCTGCCCTATTGCCTGTCACTTGGTGGGCAGTGTGCTCCGGAGCCGCAGCCAAGGTGAAAAAGAGCCGCATGTGGCTCTGGAGCCGCGGGTTGCCGACACCCGATCTATACCATAGTTTGTAGACGCTATAACTTTCACACAAAGCAATCAATATACACTTATTGGGATTTTTTTTTACCATAAACATGTAGCAGAATACATTTTGGCCTAAATTTATAACTAACTTTGAGTTTACTATATATTTTCTATAGCTGAAAGTAAAAAATATAATTTTTCTTCAAAATATTTGGTCTTTTTTTGTTTATAGCGTGAAAAATAAAAAGCGCACAGGTGATCAAATACCACTGAAAGAAAGCTCTATTTGTGTGAAAAAAAGGACGTAAATTTTGTTTAGGTGCAGCATTGCATGACCGCGCAATTATCAGTTGAATTAGTGCAGCGCCGAGTAGCAAAAAGAGGCCTGGTCATTAAGGGGGGTAAATTCCTCAGGAGCTCAAGTGGTTAAAAAAGCTGTTGCTGGGCCTCTGTAAGCTTTTAGAAAGCATGAGCACTATTTGAACCTTGTAAAAAGTCTGCTTGAATCCTGCTAACAGCTTGTTTAAATTGACAGCCAATACTTGTATTCAACATTCCTAAACTAGAGCTGAAGGGTGCTTTAAAGGCTTTAAGAAATTTTCTGAAAACTTTGCAAATGCTTTGCTACAAGGCCAAATGCAAAAATTAAATAACTTTATTTTAGAATCCAGTTTACAGGTCCACAAATATCACTCGGAGTTCCCTAAAATTTGTTAGCTGAGCAGCAAATGTCCCCAGGCATTATTTCTGTTCAAGTCATGTTGTAGATTTTGCCAAAATCAGATCATCAAGCTAATAAATAAATGCAATTTAAGTAGACTTAGTCTTTATTCCTTGTGCAATTCATTTTTTATTGATAATCATAATAATGATATGAACTACGATGTACCAGGACACACAGACACAATCCAAGAAGGAATAAAATAACTGCGTCAGCAAGTCAGAAATCTGTGTTAAGAGTTAATACTCTTAGTACAATGCAAATGTTCAAATGTTTGCTGCAATTTGAGTGACTAGTGTCCTCTAAGGGTCATCACCTGTGATCTCCTCCTCCTCTGTCCCTTCCTTTGACCTTTGGATATTTCTTTGTCCCTGTCTGCAATGCTACCCCTGGTCAGAGTGTGCACATATAACAGCAGCACCTTGCAAGCTTGGCTTCATTTGTGAACTACCAACCAAGCAGCTGCAAGGCATATTGGACCTGCAACATGTCACGAATATACCAGCAGGGGGTTCTCTTCATCCAGATTGTACTGTTCTTCTCCAGAACTTATTGCGTGAGTGTGAACAATTTTCTATAAGAGGAAAACATTTAGTAAATCAATACAAATAAAAAAGTAGGAAATACTTTAATAATAAAACTTAGGTTAAGTCAAGTTTAAATATATAATTTTAGCACAATTTATTGCAAATATACAATTACTTAGAATTTATGTAACAGATACGGAAGAAAGAAAAAAAGGATAGATAAATATATTATATTTAATATAGTAAAATTTAGTTGTTGTTATTATTATTATTATAATGGTTTTTTATTTTTTTAATTTTAATTTTTTTTACAGCAATACAGTTTACAGCCAAATAGGGACAACTGCTGCATTTTAGATGAGCGATTTGTAAGTATTATTTATTTTGTCTTCCCTAAGAACTCTGTAGCTTAGAACAACAGTGTCTTACTGATTTTTATTGTTTTGGTAGGGGGAATACTGTCCAACCACGTGTGGAGTCTCAGACTTCTTAAGCCGATATCAATCAGAGGTTGACACAGAACTGCAGTACCTGGATGGATTGTTAAGCAGAGTTATTAATCACACCACAGACACAACTATAATTGTAGATGACATACAGCAAATTGGGAGGAAGCCCCCAACATCTGCACAAAGTAAGATTTTGTGAATTTACATTTGTATTCATACAAGAGTTAATTAGATTTTTTTAGGAACCACTGTAAGAATTAGGTGCATGTTTACATATGTCAACTTTTGTTTCATTAGACCTTGAAAACCCAACTCAGAAATCCAGAAATATGTTGGATGACATTTCACGATATGAACAGACAATTGTACAGAACGAGCAGAGCATACAGTGAGTGTTCCTGTGTTCATGATATTTTTGTATTCTTAATCTAATGATATTTTAGTATTCCAAATGTTATTGTTGACCAATGCAAGAGCAAACTCTTCAGTAATGAAGGTTTCAGTAATATAATGTTTTATTTGATCTGACAGTATGCTTTCAAGAGATATATACCCGTACTTCATTTTCAGGTACCCTTCAGGCCTGGAAAATGTACCAATAGTTTAAATAAATGAGGGGGAACATCTATCTGTATATTGCATAGTTGAACATTTTTCCTTATTCTATTGAAGTAATCCAGAGTTAACTAGTTTTTCAAATTGACTTCATTTTGGTTCAGGTTTGGATCATTTTTATTCATTGGGTTGATTTATTAAAGGAGAAGATAATGTTCACTTGGCTTAGAGAATGCGGGAAAGCTGTTTTTACCTTTTACCTTAATCATGTGCATGGGAGATGAAAAAACAGGATTTGCTCATGCACACGATTGGATGTTGAAGTGGACACAGATGTTTGTTAATTACTAAGCTACCTGAACATTTAATCAAAGTGAATATCCTTTATTCTTTCAGTAAGTCAACTCAGTTTTGACCCACTAATAGCATTGAAGTCCTCATAGCAAAGTGAACCAGAGCTGATCTTCAATAATAAGTATTTATACCTTCCTAAAACAATTTAATACAGTAAAACCTTTGTAATATCTAAATGCATATATTATATTTAGCATGCTTTGTGGAATCACCAAATGCATTTCATCACTCTAGACAGAAATAAAATATGGTGCTAGGTAGTTCCCAGTCATAGGACTAAACAAGTAGTATATACAGTATAACAATATAACATTACTGTACATAAAATAATAAGGCATATTCAACGCATAAGAGCAGCAGGGAGCAATGTGCTAATTTTAAAGTATATGTGTAACTAAAATTTTATTTTAAATTTAGATACAGTAGGAAAAGATTAGTTTCTATTGCTTGGAAGAACATGGATGCAGCACCTTTACTTTTTCTGCCTTGTAGTGAGTTCACAGCCAAGGAGACACCGTAAAAAAACAAAGGCAAAAAAGTGCCACCACAAAAAAAATAATAGATCTAAAATTGTTACTGAAATCTCAGTAGCAAAAGATAAAAGATAAGAAAACAGTGGGTCTTACTACATAAGTTATTTTTTTGTCAACATTTCAGGAAATGTTTGAGATCTTCTATCCTTGGTGTGCTAGCACTTTTTGGACTTAAGTTCTGTCTGTGTCCCTGTTGGGTATATTTACTTTCTCCTTTTGTCCTGCTGACCATTGTCATTGAGACAAAAGTAGATAAGAAATCCACAAATGTCACGAGAAAAAAAGGTGAAGATAAATTATTCAGTGAGGACACACATTTCTGATCAAAAGAGAAGAGTTCACTTCAGTTTGTTGAGATTTCCTCACATTTCCTGTTGCATCTTTGGGACAGAAAGTGAATGGAAATCTCACCAAGACACGGGTTACGAAAGAGATAAAAACCTGCAATGATTTTAGTTCTTTTAGTTTCTTAAAAAAAAAATAGGGGGGAGGTATATGTAAAAAGGCAAAGCAGCTTAAAAAAAAAATCAGATTTCAGCTTACTGGACTCCGGTAATGCTGCTAGGGAATCGAATTTTGTGCTGCATTTAAAACAAAAAGCATTTGAATTGTTGCACATCAACATATGTTGGAAGTATGTGTTTTATTTTATTTCATTTTTTTATTGATTTTGAATTGTTGCAGGTCAATGCATGTTAGAAGTGCGTGTTTTACTTTATTTCATTTCATTTTTATTGCTCTGCGCTTCTTTTTTTTGAATATTATCACTGATGATGAGGGAATGCAAATCAGTGCTGGTTGCATACAGTTTTTGGTGATTAATTTGCACTATTGCTAAGTAGTGCAGAAATGTTTTTTTTTATGGTTGGAAGTGAGCACGTCTTCTTCCTATTTACTAACTTTTACTTTGCAAAGTGAACATTCACTCTGCTAAGATAACAACCTGAACTCCTTTAGTAAACCCCTCAACCACTAGTGCCTTTAATAGGACCTGTTTTCACCAATACTGTATATTGGATTGCTGTTTTTTGTGAACAAGTCAGCTTTTGGGTATAATTACCTGCATTATGACTTTCAAGTCAATTAAATAAAATTCTAATATGTGAAACACAACACACATCAAATAAATACACACCAAGAAAACATGTATGGTGTGAACCCAGCCTTACAAAACATTTCTTCATGATAGTGTACATCCTGAAGATCCATGATACATTTCCTATACACATAGACTGATGCAACTTGTGCATCCATTAAACCTGTTGTAAATGGATATATCAGAAATGTGTCTTGGTCACTATGAAGCTCCCTTGAGAAAAGATATAGTATATATTAAAAACATCTAAAACACATCTAAAAACACATGAAAATAGAATGAAACTCTTTATATAAACTGTATCTAAAATTGGTAAAGTTGATATTTTTTTGATTTTGTTATAGATATCTGCAAGAATTACTAACTTCCAACACAGAAAAAATTGCCTTACTAAAACAGAAGATTTCAAGCTTGGAAATACAATGTCAGCAGCCATGCAAAGACAGCGTTCAAATCCAGGACACAACAGGAAAAGGTATGTATTCACAATGTTTACATTTTATAAAGACATGAGTGGCACACAAGCTTATCATTTCCTCTACTTTGTCGCTTTTTAATGTATCTTCACTTTATCTACACCATGGTCAAGGCACTTAAGAAATCTTTAAACTTGTGCTGGCCATACACTAGATTTCAACTGAACATTTCTACAAACATTTGTACGAACATTTTCATCAGTACATGCAATGAGTTGATGAATGTTGTTTGAAAGTACGTCCATTTTATTTGCTTTTAAAATTCACTTTTGAAATGAATGTCATTTCCTGAAAGAAAACCACATTCGCTGTTAGAAATTCATTCATTCAAAATAAAAAAAAATTCCATCCTGTTCCTTTGAATTTTCTCATCACTATGGTCAAAAATGAACTTTGAAAGTTTTTTGATTGACTTGTAATGAAAATGTAAAAGTTTTATCTTATTTAAAAGTTTCATTAGCATGTTGATGGGGAGGGAAGTAGCAGGAATAGTAAAATATAAGTAGAATGACTTTCAGCTTTAAACCTGGTGGATGAGAAGAGATAATAGGTGAATGCAGTTATGTATTTATAGCTATTTTTCAGAAATATCCCAAGCTAGAGGGTTTTATTGATGAAATAATGTCTTTTGCTTCCTAGATTGCCAAGATGTTGCAAACAAAGGAGCACGTATCAGTGGTCTCTACTATATAAAGCCTCTTAAAGCCAAACAACAATTCCTGGTTTATTGTGAAATTGATTCATCTGGTTTAGGATGGACTGTTATACAAAGGGTGAGTATTCTGTAGCTTTTGTATGAAGTAAAAAGGTTTTCCTCTATCAACAAGTACCTGGAAAACCTTTTAGATTGGAGGCAATGTATAATAATTGGGGTCATCTCACCTGGACCCCCATTGTTCTTTTCATATTGCACTATTTCTGGGGTCAATATGTAGTGTTCTTCAATTGAGAAGAAGGCTAACACACCACTTTTTTTTGATAAATCCATTAAAATGGCCTATCAACGTGTCTAAGTGAACCTAGCAACCTACTGCTCTGAACATATGGACAGACATTAATGAACAGATGGAACTGCTCACGTTATTTTTTACTCTGAGCTTAGAATATGTAACTATGTTGTGATTTTATAACAAAACATTTTTTCTTCCTTTCCTAGAGGCTTGATGGTAGTGTGGACTTTAAAAAGAACTGGAACCAGTACAAAGAAGGATTTGGATACTTGTCTCCAACAGACACAACAGAATTTTGGTTGGGAAATGAGAAGACACACCTGCTAAGTACACAGGGTACAATTCCATATGTTCTCCGGATACAGCTGGAAGACTGGAGTGGTCACACAAGGTAATCCAAAAAGGCAACATGGTTGTTTGGGGGTGCAGATCCAGATAAAATTCATACAAAATCTAAAAATTATATATCTCTAAAAGGTGCTATCTGCTCCTTTAATAATAAAATTCAAAAAATAATAATGGCAGTAGCCCACACTGACCAATGAGGATGCATCTAGGAAAGATAAAACTATAATTATCACCATATTAGTAAACTAAAAATGCATATCGTGTAAATTCTGTGATTAACTAAAATCAATTATTTATTTTGATCTTATGATGGAATAGAATATACATTTCCAGGAATTGAAATATGCTGATATGAAATTATCTTTCCTTTGTCTATCTAGCACAGCTGATTATGCCGTGTTCAAGCTGGGTGGTGAAAAGGACAATTACAGGTTGACCTACGCTTACTTCATTGGTGGTGATGCTGGAGATGCCTTTGATGGTCATGATTTTGGAGATGACCCCAGTGACAAGTTCTTTACTTCTCACAATGGCATGCAGTTCAGTACATATGACAAAGATAATGATAAATTTGAAGGAAACTGTGCTGAACAAGATGGCTCTGGTTGGTGGATGAACAGATGCCATGCTGGCCACCTCAATGGCAAATATTATCAAGGTAAAGATAACTTAAAGATTTTTGACAAGCAGCTATACGGCACTGAAAAAGGCACACAGCTGATATTTTTCTGGATTGGGGCAGTTTGATTTTAAGCACTGGGGATCCTGTAGGGTACATTGGCCTAGTGATACTATATGGCATGATAAAGAGCCATTGAAGATCTGTGTGTTATAAAATCTGGTTCCTGACAGGAACACTATAGGTTTTACACAGTAAGGTATCAAAGGGTAAAAAATATATAGGTAATGCTTTGTAATTTAAATATATATATATAAAGTGCTAATATACTAAATAACACTAATAAATAAATAAATAAATACTACTGTCCAAAAATTATATTGTCCACAATAAAAAATAAAATATAATCAAATAAAATAAACAGAATAGACAAAAATCCTCCAGAAAGACAGTCCGCAAAAAGGCTTCCAGCCGAATGTAGATCCAGTGATTATGGAGATCGAACCAGAACATGGATATAACAAGCATGTAAGTCCCAATCCAAAAACGGCTTTTCAAACTTAGCAAGTGGGAAATTCCTCCTCCATTACCATATAGATTCCCTCCAAAGCTGAGCAGATTATACTGATAAAGTTCATGTAAAAACTCATCCGGTCATGTTCTCAATGACTCCGGATAATGCCACCACAAACAGCAATAGGAAGTTCTTCAATACCACATAAATTTTATTGCATAAATGTCACATCATATTAAAATTATGAACAGACCCTCCATAGATCCTCAGGAACACTCCTCCTGTGTCTGTGAATGGAATTTCCAGGATCCAAGATGGCCAACTGGCAACTTCCTGTTACTCAACACGTCTTGACATCACTTCCCTTTGCTTTGTAATTTAGCCATTTCATTCTCCAGTGGATATATTGGTCCAGATTATGTATTACTTGTTTACACTGTTGAGTCTCAGGGGCTGTATATTATTAAACTGTACCATAACTGTGTTTTATATGATGTTCCTTTACAGGTGGTACTTACAGTGAAACTGACTCTGGTGGCAATGACAATGGTATCACTTGGGTAACATGGCGAAACCGCTGGACTTCAATGATGAAAACCTCAATGAAAGTCATTCCTTTTAACCGATACGGAACAGATGGTGGACAACAATTTGTATCTAAGGGATCTAAGGTCGGGTCTGATGGCCGGGGAGATATATAAGATTGTAAAACACTGACATTTATAACACCCCACCTTGACCTTGTATCTACAGTCTAAATGATTCTCCAGACCTCATGTTTTGCAGTTAATTATGTTTACAATAAAATACCCAAAGTATGTGAAGATATGCTTCATTTTGACACAACTGTGTGGATCAAGTCATGGAAAATTCTGACCATTTTCATGTAAAATTTTGTATGTTTGTATTTGAGAAAAAAACACCAAGAAAAAGCTTTACACATTGGCATTTATTTAAAATGTATTTCCCTTCAAGCATTTTAGAAACTATGTCAATAAATGCAGTACATGCTCGTTATGTAGAGCAGCTCAGCTTGAATTGTTTGAATAAAGTTTCTTTACCTAAATATAATCCGGGATGGACATCTGGCTGGCAGATGTAACACAACAATCTTTTCCCTTTAACAATAAAAATTTAATGTGTAATGACAACATATAGCCATACTGTAACTGAATTCTCCATCATGTCTGTTTGATAGTAAATTAAGCAATAGGGGAGATTTACTAAGTGCAGTACTTATAATTTTTTGTCATTACTGTGATTTTTAAAAAAAACAGAGTATCTACAGTTATATTTTTTCTCTTCTATGTGAAGAGTTTCCCATAACTATTAGGAGGTACTTTTACATTTTTTGCATTTAAACCAAGCTGACTACAATGACAGGGAGAGCTATTTTACATCTAACATGCAACTAAGTGCCTTATACTTGGCAGAAAACATTATTTTGTTAACTAGTTAACAGCACCTAGTTGGTAATGACTATATATTCAGCACCTGGTAATTAAGGTTTGATCATACAATGATATAATCCGGCACTACATGCAGGTATTTTTGACTAATTGGATTAGAGCTAAAAAATGACACGTTTGATGTGGCCACCTAATGCTCAAACCCTTCCTTACTTAGCTATAAGTGTAAAGCCAATTTTGAAAGAGTTCTGCCCACTCTAGTTTCTTCAGTATGTGCGCATGTTGTTTTATGCATTTATATTTAATGGGTATGTTTAGCCAATTTGCTTTAGTTTGGATAGAATAGGAAAGAATTACAACCCCGCCATTTTTTTTGCTATCTCTATATCATTGGGGAAATTTCTCTTCACTTCCTGTCCCAGAAACATAACAGGACATTAGAGGACATCTTGCAAAGTGAGGCGAATTCCCCTCTCAGACAGTTGCCCCCAGAACCTTTGCCCCCATTGGATGATTTCACCTCTTGTTCTTCAATAAATCTAACATTTTGGATTTCACTTTTCTTTCTCTGTGACACTGGTCATTGGTACAGCTAGAGACCGCCCCTATGGTAACACAGACATAAAAAAAAACATATTCTTTCCTCGCTCAATCCGAAACTAAAAAGGTTTTGCATAGAGATAAGCTTTAGCTAGGCTAAGAAGTATATTGGCAATGCAAACAGTGTCACATTTAAAGTTTAAACATATTTATTATTATGGCAAAATGTTCAGTGGTTTGTATAATAATCTATAGCAACAGATTAGAAATCAAATTAATTAATCTGTCTGCTGTAAACTGCTGAAAGCTCATTTTTATTGGGATTTTAAGGGTTACAAGCTATAACTGCTGTGTACACCATGTTACTAAAACCAGCTGTGATATTTTTTTTAAGGAATTTTATTTATCTTTGATTAATATTAAGGCTTTCGCATAACTTTCTATAGTGGAAAATCACAGCATTATATCGCATTAATGTATCATTGAGATCAGTTGTGATACATTACAAGATTTAGGAATCAGTTAAACATAAACATTCAATTGGAAGTTGAAACTCTCTATACATACAAGAATTGTGTAATACGGTATGTTAGTGGTAGATTTACTTCTACTGCAATATGTTACATACTCTGTTTATATGTTCCCGCAGTGGGTTTATTGTTCTTTCCGTGGTATAGTGTATTAATTATTGTTTTCTCTCATTGTAGGCTGGAGACATATAACTTGACACAATTAAATAAAAGCACAAGATTTGTGGGATGCGGAACATACCAGATTTTTGTTTTGCAGTCTGTAAACTTGCACTATGTCAAATAGGAAAACGAGACACATTAAATAACATTTTAAATTCAAAATATAGTCTTAATATTTTATTCAACAGAAAACAATTTGCGTTTCACTATTTAATTTGTATTTCTATCCTTTTTATACTTTATCTTGCACAAAGACCAAAAATCAGCTACAAGTCATCTTCTGAAATGATCCGTCTGGGGTTACTGCATATAAACCTATATGTTGATCATGGCAATTCTTGAACTAAGAAAGGTTTTTGTGGTGTAAGGTGTGCCCAGAGGGACCATATCTCTAGATCATCATCTTTAATACGTAATCTCTTAAATAGAGTAGGACTTTTAAAGTGCCAAATTTGAGTCAAAGACCATATTAAAACCAAATAGAAAAACATTTGACGCTGGGATAGTTGGGATGATGGTAATGAATTTGGGTAAAATCATGATGCAGAAGGGAAGTCTACAAGGTATACAGATATGAGGGGTAATAAAATCTCAAATAAATTGTCCACTGGAATAGCTGCAGCTCCTCTTTGTGAGTTTAAGATATTCTCTTGCACTGTCAAAACAAAAAGAACAGTGGGTGCCACCATCTAAGTGTAGATTTATTAATGTAGCGCCATCCTAGTTAGCTAGGGGGTGCTAGATCCCAATGGTTAGTCAGGAGGGCTGAGTAGCAGCCTGGGTGTAAAAGCTAAAGGGTTAAATTTGGTTCAGGAGCTGAGAGGCTCTGTAGAGCAGCCTCTCTGAAATTTCCCCCTGTTCTAGAGTTTTGGAGGAGGCTCTAGAGACAGTGAGTGGATCTGAGAAGCGGCTGGTTTGCACTCTTGAGGGATTTCAGCCAATCCACAATGGGAGGTTCACCCTTAAAAAGTAGTTGGAGCCTGCTCAGAAGGGGAGTCAGGTGGAAAAGTGAGAGAGCAAGATGTGAGGTTGAAGAAGGAGGCTGTGAAGAAGCCCAGTGGGATGAGGCCTACCTGCAGGCCTGGAGCTGGAAAGGGGGAAAGCTCAGAACTCACCAGCCCCCTGAGAGAGGACCACCTGTATGGCAGGGAAGGAGCAGGCCAGCTGATAGGCCTGATAGCAGCATCCAACCCACCAGTGGTACAGGAGAGGATCTGAGTGAGTACACATGCACCCCCTGGGTGGATAGAGGAATGAGCACTCTGGTGGGAAACCAAATTAGCCCCCTACTAGTTCACTTCTCTAAAGGGACAGGAGCCAGATCCCCTGCTCAGGAACACCTCTAAATTGCAGGATTTCATCTAGGGTCGGGGGGGGGGGGGGGGGTGGTACGATAAAGTGGTAGTAAACCCACTTTGTTAATTGTTACCTACAGGTAAGCTTATAATAAAGGTTACTTGTAGGTAAAATTAATATCTTGTAAATGTGCGCCGTTTTGGAGATATTCAGGGTTTATTCAGGGTTTATTTTAGTTGATGCATGTGCTCTGAAGAAACTGCATACCCCTGCCATTCCTTTAGGGCAGTGTGCTGTGTGGCCTGTGCGCATGCATGGGAGTGACGTCATCGTGGCTGAGCCAGTCAGATGGCTGAGGCTCGTGAACCCGGAAAGAAGACCGAATAAAGATGGAAGCCTTTACAGCGGTGACAGCTGCCGCTTGAATGCTTTATTTAAGGGTAAGTTTCACATAATATACTAGCATGTGATACATACTAGCACATCATGCCATTGCCTTGCAGGGAATAGTTTTTGTTTTTGTTTTGTTTTTTGCGCAGTTTACTACCGCTTTAAGGAGATTACCCTATCCCAGCTCTGTAGCCCCTTAATAAATCTAAAAAAAAACAAAGCTCAAGGACTGATTTCTGACTTTGGATGCAAGTTTGTGTGGAGAATGCACAGGATTATTGGGGGACCCCACATCCTTAGCAACCCCCAAAGGGGAAGTGCTACATTAAGAAACAGGAAAATAAGGTTAAAATAGCACTCCCATTGTGTGAAATAATAAAAGCATAAATGGTTCTCTAGTATCTGCAGGGCAGCAGCCGTGTAGAGCAGAGTAGCTCTTGTAAGCCGCTGGACTGTATGTGCAGAGTAAATAGTAGCAGGGGCGTCCATAGGGTTGGTGTCACCCGGTGCGGTAGCACTTGGTCTCACCCCTCCGACAATCCCCGCAGGATGGATCGGATCTACAGATTGAGCATAATGGATCGGAGTCCGATCCATTATCCTCCCCAATCCTCAGATCCAATCCATCTGTGGGGATCGTCGGCTTGCAACCTATACGGGGTTAACTGATCTCTCCACAAGCTCCATGAAAAGGTAAGTTTTAAAGCAAGCCGGCGATCCCCGCAAGATGGATTGGATCTGTGGATTAGGGAGCATAATGGATCGGACTCTGAGTCTGCTTGCTTTAAAACTTACCTTTTCGTGGAGCGGGTCCAGTGGCACCCGGTGCGATAGGTGTCACCTGGTGCAGCATGCACCACCCGCACCTGCCTAGGGACGCCACTGCATTGTAGAAGCCTATACTGCAAGCCGCTTCCTCAGGAGGTAATCTAGATCATATATATTATTATATTAATAAGTAATGCATGCAATCATCATAATCAATTATTAGGATTGATCAATAATTTGGAACATTGTAAAATCAAACTAGAATGTAATGTAGCCAAGCGGGACCCAAGCACCACTTCTGCACGCTTTTCCCTGTTAGATTGCAGCCTGTCACAGTGAACAGGAGCATTTCACAAGTATTCAAAAGACATCTTCTATGGATATCTATTTAATGACATCATCATTACAATACATCTATCTAATGAATATCAGTTCATAAACAAAAAATGTCTGAATTTAATGTGTGCTTGTTGAATACACTAAGAAATCCCCCAAGGTTTGATTCTTAGTAAAAATGTGTCTCTAGCCCAAACCTTTCCCTTAATATGGTTGTAAAGGCTCAAGGTTTTTGACCTCATGCATTCTATGCATGAATGTAAAAAACCT